GATAAACTGTCGGATCTTTCAACTCCTCACCTTCAGCAGTAAGCTTCAGGTTTGGAATCATAGGTGATGATGCCGGTTTGCACCCCAACATCCCAGTGTCTGAAAGAAGATCCAAAACATACTTTCTCTGAGAAAGAACAATACCTCTGCTTCTACGGGCAACCTCAATCCCAAGAAAGTATCGCAGAAATCTAAGATCCTTCACATCGAAGGCCTTCCCAAGGTCTATCTTGACCTGCGCAGTCCCAGAAACATCATCACCAGTAATAATAATATCATCAACATATACCAGAAGGATGACACACTGTCCAGAGGTATTCCGTCGAATAAAGCAGGTATGATCAGAATGACACCTGGTGAACCCCAATCGTATGACTACATCACTGAAGCGAGAGAACCAGGCTCGTGGCGACTGTTTCAGTCCATAAAGAGACTTACGCAGTCGACATACCTTTCCAGCATACTCCCCCTCACCACGAAAGCCCGGTGGTGCATCCATATAAATAATCTCGTCCAGATCACCGTGAAGAAACGCATTCTTCACATCTAATTGATGAAGAGGCCAAGAGTACTCCGCAGCCAGAGAAATAATTAACCGAACAGTAGTCAATTTTGCCACGGGGGCAAATGTAGCACCAAAGTCACGACCTGGTACCTGAGTAAAGCCCTTCGCCACAAGTCTAGCCTTGTAACGATCAATAGTACCATCTGCCAGAAACTTCAGGGTGTAAACCCAGCGACAGCCAACAGGCTTCACCCCTGAAGGTAAGGAGACAAGATCCCATGTATGATTACGCTGAAGAGCGTCCATCTCTGTCTGCATGGCAAGAACCCACTGGGGCTCCCGCGTAGCTTCCGAAATAGAGCGAGGAACCAGCGTATCTGATAAGGCCATAGTATAAGCTCAAAATGTGGGAGACAGATTACCATAAGAAACATAAGCAGAGATCGGATATAAAATCTTGGCGGTCCAACCATATCGATCAACTGGACGGCGATCACGCCTTGGATAATGACGTCCTAAATCACCATCCTCTACTGATAATATCTTATCATGTAAAGTAACTGGCTCAGCACCTGTAATCTCATCAGTACTAACAACAGGTGCATCAATATGCTCAACAAACTGAGAAGTATTACCTGCATCGCCTGAGGTAGAGGGGATATCAGCAGGGTGATGAGAGCGAGGACAACGAGCATACACCTGCAAAGGAAGAGAGACTGGTAACTTTGTACTGACAGGGATGAGTGACTCCTTGGGAGGAAAAACGGATGACCCTGTAGGGATAGTGATCAATGACTCTGACTCTTGTGGTAATGGGAAGTCAAAGGGAGTATCATCAACTGGAGAGGCAGACAAAGGACTGAAAGGAAAAAAAGGAATATGCTCAAGAAAGGTAACATCTAGACTGTGATACATACGACGCCTAATAGGATCGTAACAGCGATACCCCTTAGATTGATGACAATAGCCCCACAAAGATACAACGAATCGCTTTATCATCAAGTTTATGACGAGTAGGAGACCGATCCTGAACAAAACATGTGCATCCAAAAACACGAGGGGGGACCGAAAAAAGTGTCCGCTCAGGAAATAAGACCTGTAAGGGAGCCTTATGCTGAAGAACACGACTCGGCGTACGATTGCACAGAAAGGTAGAAGTCAAAACAGCAAAATGCCAATAAGATTTTGGTACCCTCATGCCTCTAAGCAGACAACGTACCATCCCTATCAAACTCCTATTTTTCCTCTCAGCAACACCATTTTGCTCAGGAGTATATGGACAAGTGAGTTGCTGAAGGATACCCTGAGAAGAAAGGTGAGACACTAAAGCATCAGACACATATTCTTTGGCATTATCCGAACGAAGAGCACGAACAATGACATCGAATTGTGTCTTAATCATCTGTAAAAACTGAGTGATTATAGGGAGCACATCAGACTTCCTATGCAAAAGGTAGACCCAAGTACAACGGGTATGATCATCTATAAATGTCACATAATATCTGGCACCTGACAGAGCAGTAACGGGAGAGGGTCCCCAAATATCAGAGTGTATTAGGTCAAATGGCTTGGGTGACTGGTGCATGCGAGGAATATAATTGGCCCTAACATGTTTTGATAGGGAACAGATAACGCAATCAAGTTTACCACCAACACAAGCATTACTCAAAGCAGGAAACAACATACATAAATATTTAAAATTTGTATGTCCAAAACGGTCATGCCACAATTGAACAGTTTGTGGCGAAAAATCATAACGACAACTACTAGGTAAAATACTAGCATGCAAGCTAGGAACAGAAAAAGACAAAGCAGGTGCAGGTGAAGGAATTGGTGAAACTGGAGATGGATTGCCAAGATAATACAGTTCATCTTTCTCATGTCCCTTGATAATAATCCTCCTGGTACTCAGGTCCTGCAAATAACACGAATCAGATAAGAATACAACCGCACAGTGAAAATCTCTGGCTAACTGATGTACAGATAATAGATTCATGGCCAACTTTGGCGCATGAAAAACCGAATGTAATGTAAGGCCATCTGGGAGACGGACTGTACCCCTACTAACAATAGGGGCATGTGTTCCATCTGCTAACTGAACCTGTGTATGTAACGGCTCGTCAAAAGTGGTGAAGTGATGGGCCTCACCTGTCATGTGACCATTCGCACCCGAGTCCAACATCCAAAGGGGAGATGAACTGGCACAAGCGTGAAAGGCACGAGATATACCTGTAGTGGTGACAGCAGCAGTAGTCAGACTCTGAGAAGTCAGAGCAGACATAAGTATATCTAATCGGGAAGTGATAGCATCCATATCACTTTGCCAAGGAGGAGCAGTAGCAGGAGTGGC